TATATATATATATATAGCCCATGTTTGAGTCACATTAAAATTTTCATTCTCATTCTTTTACTCATTTTCAATCACACATTTTTCAATAAAATAATATTTTTCATTACATCAATAACTTTTCCTTCTTTTTCAACCACACATTCTTTCAAAATAATGTGACTCAAACATACCCATAATCTCAAAAGTTGGGGGGCACGTGCCCCCAAGACCCCCCTGGGTCTACCCATGCCCCCTGGTCAAAGCTCTAGAGTTAGTCAAAGCAATGTGTTACTTATTTTCCTATAGTCAATTATACCCATTTGTATCTCTTGTTCTCCATTTGATTCATGATAAGTTTTGAAAAGTGACTTATAATATGATACATGAATGACTGTACATGTATCATACCACCAATCAAAAACTTTGCCTTTGATATTGATTCGCTCACAGTAGCTACAATGTTATCGTCATCGATGACATTCACTTTACTCACTTTCTTGTTTTGTAATCGATGCTAGCAATCTTTAACGTAATTTTCGAATTTTTCACACACAAAACATGTCCATTGGGCTTCTTTTTGAACTTATTGTAGTCCTCATTAAAAGATTTTCTCTTGTTTGATTTATTGGATGGCTTTTGTCTTTTCCACAACATTGACTTTTGAAGTGTTTTCATAAGAGTTTTTACTATTATCTCTTGCCCTTGATTATTCCTCAATCTGAAAGTGTTTCTGAACTTGTTCCAAAGAATAATCTTCGAAACTATGAAAAATCTTCTTTTGATATCCTTTCCAAGTCCCCGAAAGTTTTACAATGATTGCTCTTGCTTCGAAAGATTTCGACTTTTATATTTTGATTGCATTTAGTATGTTGACAAGCACTTGTAATTTATTCACTTGAGGAAGTAGATGAATATTTTCAAGAAATTTAAAGTCGAAATAGCTTGATATTAGGAATTTCTTTGCACCTTCTTGGCTTTTTACTTATTTTCTAATGCATCCCAAATTTCTTTTGTCGAAGTGGTGTTGGTATATAGATCATACAATCGATCTGATAATGCATATAGGATTTGATCGCGGCAAATCAATTCATTATCTTGGCTCTTCTTCCTTTTTGCTTTTATAGCATTAGTATCTTCATTCGTTGGTTTCGAAAGTGGTGCCAAATCAAGATCAAGAATGTAGAAAATTTCAACGCTGCAAGTAGAAACTTCAACTTATCTTGCCACCGAGTGTATCGTGGTTGATAGAGCTCAATGACTCAATAGAAGTTGCTAGCCTGTTGTGAACATTCAAAGAACCGCCACCCATTTCGTGAAGCTTTAGAGTACTGGTTTCTCCTTGTTTGAGTGGAAAAGATGAAGGAAAATTGAATCCCATTTTAGGAGAACTTCCTGAAGAATCAAGACTAAAACAAGGGTTTGATGCAATTGCAAAAGTAGAATTATTTGACGAATCCCTAAAAGATGAAAACTGGTAAAAAGACCAATTTTGGGTTCATCAGTATCACACAAGTTGCTCTTTCTTGGTGGAGGGAGCGGTTGACTGTGGCGATAGCTGTGGCGAGACAGATAGATTTTGGTTTGGCTGAGTGTTGAGGGTGGAGAAGAAGATGAACAATTCTCTTTGTTTTTTCAATTTAATTATTTTATTGAAGAAATATAAAACTACAATTTTGCCCTTTTAATATTAATCAAAATATGGTCTAATTAATTTTTCAGGGTTGACTAATGGTCAAATGGTTGGATTCCGCCGATTTGTCCTCCAACTGCAACTAAAATGAAAAGTTTGAAATCGTAGTTGTAAAAATAAAAAGTTCAAATATAGTCTACAATAATTTAATTGCATTTATCCCTAATAGTAATGTTATTCATTTCCAGTGGGATTACAAATAAATGTAAATGACTCTAAATGATAGGTTAAATAAAATGTGAAATTAAATGACGTATTTAATTTCACCTATCATTTAATGTCACATTAACGTCACCTAAACTTTGTTTGTAACTCCAATGAGGATGAATAACATTACTCTTTCCCTAAAATGGCGGAAGTGGTGTGCATCATGTGTAGTGTGATCCAAAAGGGCTGGTCATTGGTCTAAGAGAAGGATAGTCAACAGATCTCTACCAATGTCATTACAAAATGAACAGCACTACACTTACAGTGTTTAGAGGACTGTAAATTTTACAGCCCTCTCTAATTAGTGTGGGCCCCATAAATTAATTAAGAGGAAATTACAGCCAACCCTATATTTTAAGATCCAATTTCAAAAATCATGTCCAAAGTTTGTTTATTCAAAAATCAGGTTATAATT